TGGAGGATGGGTGGTGAAAGGGTGGACTGGTGAGTGACGGTGGGGGTGAGGAAGTTCAGGAGCACAGCCTGGAAGTTAAGGTCTGTGGTCCTGAAAGGACAGCTCCCTGAGTCGTGCACTATAGGAAGTCCCAGACGCTTTGCACTGCAAACCTCCTTTTTAAAAACAAGTCATCCACAGTTACGTAGAATGTAGAATCTGAGCTGGCATGACCTTCAGTAGTCATTGCTCTGCCTCACTTGAACATGGTGCAACTGAGGCCTAGCCTAAGGATGTTGGTGTAGGCCAGATGCCCTCTACAGTGCTCTGCTCTGCCAGGGTTTACAGGGTTGCAGGGGGTGGATATTCTGCCAGAGGCCAACCCCATGAGGAATCTCAGAAGGATAGGGTTCCATATCCAGCACACCATGTACTCCTGGTTCTCACACACACACACACACACACACACACACACACACACACACACACACGCATCAACCATAAAGGCTCTGAGAAGTCCTGCAACAGGCTCATGTTCAACCAGGTTAGGGGTTTCCCTGACTAAGGGGCTTTCAGCACCCTTACTCTCTAAGACTGGGACAGAAGGTGTGATGTATAAAGGATGATGTTCCCACACACTCTGTGGACCCGTTTCCAGAGGCCTCACCCTCACCAGGCACCTCCAGATCCGCCTACTTTGCTCCCACAAGCCTTCTCAGCCTGGCTGAGGAGACGGAGGCTGAGTGCTCTCCAGTAAGCCCAAGGGTGCTCCGTGGGTCACTGTGGTCTGTGCTGTTTCCCAGCCGCAGGCTCCCAGAACTGCAGGGCGCACAGAGGGCCCAGACTGGTGCAGCTATCCTGGGGATACTCTGGACCCAACCCTGGAACCCTCCCTATAGACCCTGCCTAAGTGCATGTCCTGGTCCCTTTAAGAACCTTGCCCCCCATCCTTGGTTTCCTTGGAGAGGGCAGTGAGGGGGCCGGCCAAGGCTGGAGAGCGGAAGGGAGACTTGGCAGGGTCCTCAAGTTGTTGTCAGCGGCCGGTTCCCAGCCCAATTTCTCCCAGGCCAGCTGGCTCCTGACGGAGGCAGGGACCAGGAGGGGGACAGGCCCAACACAGAAGCCCCTTCAGTGAGTGTGGGGGATGTGCTCTGCTTCCCCCCACCTGAGGGGGGGGCTGGGGTGGAAGAGGGGCAATGTGCTGCTCTAGGCAAAGTCACCTAACCGCCTAGCCTCCGCCCTTCTCTCTCCCCCCATTTTGTCCCTGGGGGCAGCAGGGCCTGGCAGGGGCCCACTAGGAGCCTGCTCTCCTCAAGGGGCTTCTGAGGCAGCCCACCTGCCTCCTTGCAGGGTTGGGAGCTGGAGGGAACACAGGTCATGACACAAGGTCACAGTACCACTGCGCTCTGTACCCGGGATGGGGCAGTGAACATCCCTGCCCTGCCCTCCACCCCACGGCGCCCTCGCTGCTCCCCTCCTCAGTGCCAGCTGGCAGTCTCAGCCCTGCCTGTCCCTGTGCCCTCAGTCTTCTCCGGCCCCAAACATCGCCTGCTCAGGGAGGCCGTCCTGCCCATTTTCCTGCATCCCCACTCATTCACTTCTCAGGTGAGACCCCATTTTCGGGGAGTCCATATATTCGTGTCTCTGCTCCCTATTCCCCACTTCCAGTAATGTGGGGGCCCCACCTGAGGCTGTGGAAGCCCCAGCCTCAGTTTCCTCGACTGTGATGGGCAAGATGAGTGTCCACCACCTCCCAGTACAGAAAGGTGCCACCCAGCCCTGACCCTCACCCGGCCCCCACCAGGCAACTCCCAGGCACTGGCAGAGGGAGAGGCTGCCCAGCTCTGCCCAGCCCTCGCCTGCCTGTGCTCTTGCTGCTGGGAAGAGCTGCTGCTTGGCCTGGGAGGCATGTCTGCAGAGGGGCTTCAGCAGTGAAAGGGGGTCCTGTGCCGGGAACACAGTGGGAATGCCACGGAAGTGTGCTTGAGGTCTAGGCATGTTAGTGTGGCAGGGGGCATCTTGGTGTAGGGGGTCAAGGCACATGATCTTCCCACGGGGCCACTTCCAGCTGTCTGGCCCCTGGGCCTCCCAACTTCTGTGCCCCTCACATCTAGGTGCTCAGTGGGTGAGTGGGTCTGTGCTGAGTTCACGGGGCAGTGCCAGGAAGGGGGGGTGAAGGGGTCCGCCAGGACCACTTTGATGCAGGAAGGGATTGATGTGGGGACAGAAGAGGGGACACTTGGGAAGGGCCTGAGCCTGACCGGCACACAGAGGTGCTTCAGGGTGCTCCTGGCAGGGGTTTCATCCATCCATTCACCTGTCCATCCATTTGCAATGTGCTAGAGTTCTGTGAGTTTGTAACAAAGGCCTACCACGTTGAGCATTCAGCCACTCCCCATTCATCCTCCCAAGAGGAGGTCTTATGGGTCTTGATCCTGCAGTGCCCACCAGACTCCTTCACATAGATGCCCCAGTGACCTCGAAGAGGCCTGGGAGGGCAGGGTTGGCTGCAGGGTCCGTGTCATAGGGACAATCCTGTGCGGCATGCGGGTGGCCCTCCTCACTCCTGACACTTGCTGCCCTCTACTCCGTATTACTTGTTCTGCGTGGTGGAAAGGGCTTCAAGACCCAGCTCCCCAGGTCTGCATCCTTGCTGGTGGTATTGGGAGGACAGTGACTAGCTGTCTTCAACTATAGGGAGCCGACTCTGGATGTGGGAGGGTTGCATATGGGGTAGACACAGGAAGGACTTCAAAGTTGACAGGAAGGAGAGTGATTGTGGGTGTCCAGTCTCCTTTCTTGGCCTTGGTGCAAGGGCATCCAGAAGCAGGGGGATGGTGGAATGCCCTTGAGGTGACTGGGCATTTGGGAGTCAGGTGAACTGGGAAATGCCTGGGGAGTGGGCTGGTGGTCAGGGGTGTGATGAACGAAGATGATTAGCTGCCCGAGTTCCATCTCATGGTTGATGGGGACGGTGGTGAGACCTGCTCTGCCTACACAGTGTCTCCCAGATGTGGCAGGTGCCGAGTAAATGCTTTTTGAATGTTGGTGATAAAGGTTGCCAGCTAGTGTTGGTCCTAGTGACAGTCACAGTGCTGGTTCTGAGGAGGTGATGGCAGTCGTGGTGATGGTGATGCTGCTGATAGGGGAGGTGATACCGGTGATCACAAGACACAGGAGTGATGGTGACAGCGGCAGTGGGCATGGTGCTGTCGGTGCTGTTGATGGGTGGGGTGGTGAGAGTGACAGCACTGGTGACGATGCTGTTGACAGTGATGTTGATGGCAGTGGCGATGGTGACGGTGGCAGTGCTGCTGCTGCTGTGATTGTTGATGAAGAGGGTGGTAGTGGTGGTGGTGTTGATAATGTGAAGGCATTGGTGTGGTGAGTTGGCAGCAGTGATGGTGATGTGATACTGGTATTGGCGATGATGATGTGATGGTGACGGCGATGGTGGTATTAATGGGTGTGTTGTGGGGGTAGCGGCAGTGTTGGTGGTGACAGTGGTGATGGTGGTAGGACATGTCTGTCATTCTTAATGACAGTAGTGATGCTGTGGTGCTCTTGATAGTGTAATGGTGGTGGTGATGTCAACGATGTTGTTGGTAGTGTGACGTGATGGTGCTGGTGGTCATGCTGGTGGTACTGTGTGGTGGTGGTGATGATGGTGATGGCAGTGATTGTATTATTGTTGTTGATGGTGGTGTTTTGATGTTGGTGGTAGTTTCAGTGATAGCAGTGAAGGTGGAGGTGTGGTGACAGTTAAGGTGGTGGGCTCAGCTCTTAGGAGAGTTTCAGGTCCCTCCCCATGGGAACCAGGATGCACCCATGGCACTGACAATGAGCCAGACCACACACTGAGCCAGAGAGGACCTGGGGAGAGCCCACAGCGATCTTGGAGGAGGCAAGGCTGGGCTGGGTGTCATGGGTGGTGAGCTTGGGGATCTGCTAGTTAGTGCAGTGCCCATAGGGGTGCCCAGTGCCCAGCACAGGGGCTGGCACAGGCAGGCCAGGGAGGCACTTGCTGAATGAATGAGTGAGCATAGCAGCTTGATCCCCAGCTGTACCAGTGGCTGGAGTGTGAGGGGTGTGGGTATTGGGGCAGTGGCCTCTCAGTTAGCAGGGGTGAGTGACAGGCCAGGCAGACCTGGGCTGGAGGTGCGCCAGGTGACGTTCTGAGCAAGGGCAAAGGGCTAAGGTAAGATCCCTGGGTCTGGGCCTCTGAACTGGAGGAGTCAGAAGATGGAGTGGTGTCGGCAGGACCCGAGCCCTCCTTGGCCCATCCCTTCCTTGTGGGGCTGGGGAACCCAGGGTCCCACCCTCTCCAGCAGCCTGGTCTACCTGGCAGGCTGCCCTGGGCCTCTGTGGCCCTGCCCAGCTGAGCAGGCTGAGACAGGAGAAGAGCTGGACCCTAGGGAGGGCCCAGTTTCCAGCCCGGGGCAGGCCTGAGGCTGGAAGCCCTGACTCAGAGTGTGGTGGTGCCGGGAGCAAGGAGATTGGCATCTTGGATTGTGGGGACATGAGAAACCCTGGAGGTCCTGGTCACAGACCCAGAGTTGCTGAGCAAGGTTCAGACACTGTCAATTCCAAGAGAGTCACAGACTTGAAAGGCCATGGGTCTCTGGGTGGGTACCTGCCTGGCAGCTCGCTCAGCAAGACCCAGGCCAGGCAGGTACCCACCCCCCAGAGATTCCTGGTCACAGGCATTGCTCCCAGAACCTGAACCAGGAGGAGATGGAGCTGATTTGGGCAAGGCCCTGGGGAAGCAGACATGGCCTGTTCTGAGGGTTCTCAAGAGCTGGCGGCCAGATGGGGCTGGGCATGGAGGGGGAGGCTGAGGAGGCTTCCTGGAGGTAGCAATGACTGGGGAGCCCTGAAGGATGAGACTGAGTCAGCCGATGGACAGGAGGGCATGTGGCCAGAGATCAAGGCCTGGAAGCAGGAGAGGCACCTATGTTCTGGGTCACCTATGGTTCCATCTGGGCTCGCCTGTGCTGGCAGGGCCACCAGGGCCAAAGGGGCTGGGGGGTCATGATGAGCTCTGGCTGCTGCATAAGGTAGGACCCCGAGTGGGGAGCCCAGTGCAACAACAGGGTATGAGCTGATAGATGGGTCAGGTGCATTGCTCAGGGATTCACAGGTTCTCTGGGCAGGCTCCCTGGAAGAGGAGACCAGCACAAGTCTTGATCTACAGCTCAGAAGGCAATAGGCAATAGGTGAGAGGTGGGTACTGCGGATAAGAAAGCATGATTTAGCAGGGCTTGGGCCTGGGATGGTTGGTTTAGGGAGCACAACCCCTTGAGGATCTTGAAGGCCAGCCTGAGATATTTGGAGGGCCTCCCAGCAGCCCCTGCCTACAGAGACTCCTTGCCCACTCCCTGTTCTCCCACTGCAGGGTGCTGTGCCCACTCCAGCTTCTTTCTGCTGTGTGGGAGGACACCTCTGAGTCACTCGCACTCCAGTGTGAATTAGCCTTCAAACTGCAGGGCACCCTGATGGGCATAGTCCAGTCAGAGCACCTGCCTCGTGGGCTGGTGGGAGGCATCATGAGTACAGTGAAGGCCCTGGCTCGGTGGGGGGCAAGGGCTTTTGGTGGGCCTTCTGTGTTACTGCCTCGATGTCCCGTGAGTGTGCCAGGCCCTGCAATGGGCACTGTGTCCCTGTGATCTCCCTGACCAGCATGAGGAGCAAGCATTCGCGTCTACTACACCAGGGAGGCAGCTCAGCTCCGAGTTGCCAGGAGGTATTTTCCCAAGAGTGGTACAGGCTTCGGCTGTCCACTTCCCCCTTCTTGGGCTGGGCTGGACAAGCATTATCTGGGCACTGGCCAGGGGGCAGGAAGGCAGGGGTGCCACAGGTTGAGCCTCCTTCCAGGGCCTCCAACACTCCTCGGCTCCCACCTTCCTGGGCCTCTGGGCAGTGCCTCGGTGGGGGGCGGGGCTGCTGAGATAGGGGGGCCCAGGCCTACTCCACTCTGGCCAGCCAGTGACTACAGCTAGCTTGCCTTCTCAGAGCCACCCTCACCTGGGACATAGGGACAAGGCTGTGGTCCTGCAGTGGGTGACAAGGGTGAAATGAGGTGGTGGTCTGCACAGGATGGGGCCTGCCAGGTTGGGGGAGCAGGAGAGCTGCAGAGAGGTGGAGTTTATAGCCTGTGTGTGACCAGAAGGGAACACTCTTGGGGAGAGTGTGGAGGTTGAGCGAGGGAGGATGGGCCAATCCCCAGGGACCCTGTGGGTCCCTGAGGGCAGAGTAGCCTTTGCTCTGAGTGAGGAGCTGTGTGAGGGTTTTGAGCAGATGACATGGCCTGACATTTGCCAGTGACGGTGCTGGCCTAGGTCAAGGATGAGTGATGGCCAACGGGGCAGCGGCCTCAGTAGCCAGGGAAGTACCAGCAGAGGGTCCCACCATGACGGTGGCCTCGCATAGGTGAGCAGTGATTGGACTCTCAGTGCATTTAGAAAGGAAGGCCAGTCAATTTGCCAATGGGCCCACTGTAGGTAGGACAGGGTGGGACAGAGGAGGCTTCGGGGTTGCTGGTGGGCAGTGAGAGGTTAGAGGGGCAGAGGCTTTAGGGTTGTTGGTGGGCAGTGGGAGGTTAGAGGGGCAGAGGGGCTGCTGCTCAGTCCTGCCTGGGCACCTACTCCCACTGGTGTGCTGGCAGCAGGTTGAGCAAGACCAGCCCAGTCCTTTCCTCCCAGGGGAAGACCTGGAAGCCATGAGCAGAGCCTGACTGTCATGGGAGAACCAGGCAGGAGGTGGGAGTGCTCTTTGCGGGATGGAGGTGTGTGTCAGGGACAGGCCTCACTGCAAGAGTCTAGGAGCTAGCCATGCCTGTGGCTGTGGAGGTGGAGCCAGCCAGGCCAGGCCCAGCAGGTCAGCTGGTCTGACAGGGGAGGCATGGCCCTGCCCTTAGAGCCCTGGTCTGAGGGGCCCAGGGCCCCCTTCAATCGCCCCTAAACTCAGGCAAGAAGGGACTCCTGGTCTAACCCCCGGCTCCCTGCCCTTCTGGCCCTGAAGGTGCTAGTACCCTAGCTCCTTCTCTCACCCTGGACCTAGCAAGGGAGAAGCAGGTGTCACTGACCCAGATTCTTTTGGCCTGGAGGGGAGGGCTGCTCTGTGACCCAGATAGTTCAAGTTTGTGAAGCTCAGACAAGAGATGGCAAATGGTCTCCCATGTGCGGAGTGGTCGCTGTGGGCAAAAGGAGGAAACAACCTGTCTGTGCTACAGAGATGGGAACAGGTGTCCCTGCAGCAGGAAGAACTATGGTCAGACATGAGGAAGAACTTCCAGCTGTTGTGAGTAGGAGAGGATGCATTCTACAGGTCTTGTTGGACACAGGCTGAGAATTTCCTGGCCTCTCCCAGGTTAGGGTGCGCCTTGACGCAAGTGAGGGTCCTCAGGCCAGTGACTCCCCAGGAAACCTCCACTGACTGAGTGCCCCCCCTTAGGCTTGGGAAGGGACCTAAAGGGGGCCACCCCTCTATCTGGGCTGGTGTTAGCTTACCCTGTTCTGTTCTTCAGTCCAGTGGTTCAGATGTTGTGGATCTGGGAGTAGATGAAAACTGGAACCTGGTCCTCCTGCTGTTTTGCTGTGTGACCTTGGGCACGTGTACCACCTCTCTGAGACTCTGCTTCTTTATCCACACAGCTGAGCTGAGGGTTATGGCAGAAGCTGATAAAATGCAAAAGAAGCCATTAATATCGAAGTAGGGAAGGGGGCAAGAAGAGGGTCCCTGTGCCTGTGCTGCATATCCAGAGCCAAGCCAGCTCTCTGATACAGGCCAACAAGGGACGCTGGAGTCGGGAGACGCAAGGCCAGGGAGTCTGCCCTGCAGTCCTCCAGGTCCAGGCAGCTTACAGAGGGACCAGCAGCTGCCCACCTCCTGGGCTGCCAGTGGCCAGCTCGTTCTGTGGTATAGGGACAGGCATGTCCCCGTGCCCTCCCTGGCTGGAGGCTGCAGAAGCAGACCCTGGCCCCACGTCTCAGCGCAGTGGGCGCCACCCCTCTCTCTCCTTTCCTCTAGGAGGCTGATAAACTAATTAGTGCCCACAGCAGGAGTCCTGCAGGGTCAGCCACCAGCCTGGGCTGGCGTTCTCCCAGGAGGTGGCAGGCAGCTGTCTGCCTGGCGCCCTGCAGACCCGCCAACACCGGCTGGGAACCTGCCAGGCTGTTGGTCCCAGCCAGCCTGCTCCCCTCACCACAGGCCTCAGGCTGTTATCCCCTCCTGGTCCTCCCAGCAGCCCTCAGGCAGCCGGCAGACCTGGGTTTGGTTCCTCCCTCCACTCAGAGGAGGGTGGTGGAGGCCTGACCTGTCAGTGACTGGGTCAAGTCGTGAGCAGAGCTGGGATTTGAACCCAGGACTGGCTGGCCATAGAGTCCTGCTCTTAAGAGCAGCCACACAGCTAATGCCATCGACAGGCTGGTCAGCTTGAGAGAGGGAGGTGCTCTGTCTCCAGACGGGAATGGCCAGAAGGACTCTTTCTTGAAACGCACTGTTTTTGCTGTCTCCTGGCTGTCTTGGTGTCTGGTCAGTGGCTTGCACCTGCAGGGCTGCAGGTGACACACCCAGGTGTGAAGACAGGGCACTCCCAGTGGGAGTCAGGGACTGAGGGTGGTGGTGGGAGCTGGGGTCAGTCAGGGCTTAGTGTTTTGTGCTTCGTGCCCTGTGTGGTGCTGGGGGATGGAGATGGCAGCCAGGTGAGGCTTTGATAAACTTTGGCTGAGGGTGCGGGAGGACCCTGCTGG